AAGGCTGCCAGATGGTCCACAGAAAGTCTGTCCATTCTCCAGGCTTGCTCGGTCTGTTCGGTCTGTTCTTGCTACCCACCCACATGCACTGAAGTAGTCACTGCTGTCACCTTCGTCAGTATTGCCATCACCATCATTGTCATCATCAACATTATCATCATCATCTATATAAAGCCAGTATCAAACACTGTTTTAGGAGTTTTCATGGATAATGATGCATTTGACATTCATAACAATGCTGTAAGGTAGGGGCTATCGTTTTACTCATTTTTCAGTAGAACAATTGAAGAGATCTAAAATAACCACCCCAAGGTTATACAGGCTTATGTATCTATAGTCTATAGTTCTAACCAGCACACAATATGATTCTCTAGGGTTCCTCTAAGAGGCCATCCATCCCCACTCTTTAACCAGGGAATGAGAATACAAGCTCTCATCTCTGGGAGTAGGTACATGTGTTAAAGAAACAGAGCCAAGAGGAAAGATGTAGCTACAGATATAAAGACTGGTTATGTGAATCAGCCCACATGATGATGAAGGCTGGGAAATCTCATGATCTGCCATCTGCAAACTGCAGAATTAGGAGGCCCAGTAGTTCATTTCCACCAAAGCTAAGTCCAAAGGCTAGAGAAACAGAAAAGCCATGGTATACATGCTGGTCCAAACTTGAATACCTCAGACCTGAGAACATTGATACTAGGGGCCAGAAGAAATATAGATGCCCTAGTTCAAACAGAGAGCTAGTTTGCCTTTTGTCTGCCTTTTTCTTCTACCTGGGTCTTCAACAACCTGAATGCTACCCACCATACAGATGAGGGCAATGTGCCTTACTCCATCTACTGACTTGAGCACTAAGGTCTTCTGGAAAACCCCTCAAAGACCCACATAGATATTGTTTGACCAGCTCTTGGGGCATCTCTTAACCCAGGCAAGCTGATACTTGAGAAATCAACCATTGTAAGTTCATCCTTTCTGAACTTGGTATCTGCATCTTTGAATTATATTTAATTTCTGAATAAAGAACAACGAAGTCATAGTCCACTTGATGATACCACTAGATCTGAATTAACCACAAATACACTAACCTCTTCCCTTGGGAATGAGGTAAGGTTGCTGAGCACTGATTCCTTTTCTCTTGATACCTTGTCTTTAAATACTAAGATGTAGAATTCGCAACTTAAGTGCTGACCTGAAGTCGGCACATCTAATCTTACGTGACAAAAGGCTAAGAGCAGAAAGAAAGCAGATACTTGTTTAATACAGGTACATACATACACAAACTGTATTCATAACAAAATACACATGATAATTAGTCTTCATTTCTATAGCTGGCTGCAGGGGTATAGGTGGTGCTTGCTTCTAACTCTCTCCTACTCATTCTATGCTCCCTCTGCTGTCAAGCAAGTACCTGAGCTGATGGTGGTTCTTTGCCTGATACAGTGAGCTAAACCTCCATTCCTAAAGGGTCTGGGTTGGGTTACTAGGGTTTTCTGTAGACCTTAACCACAAGTCATGGCGGTTCCCTAAGAGAAGTCTTAGGTTCCAGACACACTTTTCCTTTCCCCTCATCAGGAAAAACCCCTAGCAAGTTCCATTCCTCCTGTCAGAGGCATAAGAAGCCCAAAATAGAGCCATTAGTGTTTCTCTGGTGGAAGAAATTCTCCCAGAAGAGCCAGTGTTTCGAGGCTATCAGAGGACAGTGTCTTGGAGAACGGAGCCCACGTGTTTGCAGATGGGTCAGTAGGAGCAACTGGGGATGACATCACTCTAATTGCCACTTGGTGCCAGGATCCTGGCCATCAGGGAAACAGCATACACTGAAGCTGAGTTCGAGAATCCTTACAGACATCTGGAGAACCTTCCCTCGACTCCAGAAATCCCAGAGGCACTTTGGCAAACTCATCCCTGAATTACTATTTGTCTAGAGCCATCTTTGGCACAAAACTTCCTGTGTGCGTCTGTTTGGGTCACCAAACCAAACCAAAATAGGTGACTTTTAAACTACAAAACCATTTCCTATGGTTTTAAAAGCCAAGAGGTCCAAGCTCAAGGGAGTGGCAGACCCAGTGTGTGGTGAGAGCCCTTTTCTGTTTACATTGTTATTGTCTTGGTGTGGTGGTTTTAAAGAAAATGGCCCCCAAAGGCAGCAGCACTGTTAGAAAGTGTGGTCTTGTTGGAGCTGTGTCACTGTGGAGATGGGCTTCGAGGTCTCATATAAGCTCAAGATACTGCCCAGTGTTCAGTTTACTTTCTCTTGCCTACAAGTCAAGATGTAGGACACTCAGCTCCTTCTCCGGTACCGGTCTGCCTGCACACCACCATGTCCCACTATGATGATAAGAGTTGCTGTGGACACAGTGTCTCTTCACACCAATAGAAACCCTAAGACACTTGGTGTACCTCATATGGTGGAGGGGATGAGACACCTCTCAGGTCCTTTTTCTAAAGACATGGAAGCCATTCATTCATGAAGACTCTCCATTCTTGACCTGATCACTTCCTAAAAGTCTTGCCTCTAATACCATGACCTGGGGCTGAGAATTTCAACATGAATCTGAGGAGAGACCAAACGTTCAGACCATCACAGCACATGATCAGAGCTTGCGGGTCCGCATAGCCCCTGTTTCCGGCCACGGTGATCTAGTCGCTGGAGTTGCAGTGCTGATACAAGAGGAAAGGTACAGAAACCATTGTGTTCTCATAGGAGGAAAACTTCCTAAAAAATGAATCAAACACAGGAGTGCTGATCCAAGAAATGAAGAAGAAGAAGAAGACAACTCCTCCCAGGACTTCCACTGAAACAGCTTGACTTATCATGTCAGATCATCTCGTGGGCTTTTCTATAACAGAAGCTAAAAATTCTCCCTTTCATATAATTTTATATAAACTAACGTTCTGTCTCAGATCCGAAAGAACTTTGGATGGCTCCCATTCCTTGGAGTTTTCAGCCTCAAGGATCACATTTCCCAAGCAATGGATCACCAACAGAAACTCTAGACTGGACTGTTCTTGTTGCTATGGCAACAGCCATCACCTGAACCCCCCACTACACCCACCTCCTGAACTGCAGCAAGATGCTAACTGGCTGACCACCGGCAGAAGAGTAGAGGGGCAGAAGGCAGCCCCTCCTTATTTGGGGAAAGCTGAGTTCAGCCGCTAATTATTTTTTTTTATTTTGTTTCGTTTTTCAAGACAGGGTTTCTCTGTGTAGCCCTAACTGTCCTAGAATTTCCTCTGTAGATCAGGCTGGTCTCAAACCCAGAGATCCACTTTCCTCTGCCAAGTACTGGGATTAGAGGCATGTGCCAGTAAGGCCTAGCTCAAAATTTAGGTTGTTTTGTTTGTTTTTTATTTGCTTTGGCTTTGGTTTGGGGTGTTTTGTTTTGAGACAAGGTTTCTTTACGTAACCATGACTGTCCTGCAATTTGCTCTGCACACCAGGCTGGCCTCAAACGTAAATCTGCCTGCCTCTGCCTCCTGAGTGCTGGGATTAAAGGCATACACCACCACCTGATGTTTTTTGTTTTTGTTTTTAAAGATAGGATCTCTCTATATAGCCCTGGTTGTTCTGGAACTCATTATATAAGTCAGGCTGGCCTGGAATTTGCAGAGATCCTCCTGCCTCTGTCTCCTGAATCCTGGAAAGAAAGATGTACACCACCATAACCAGCTCAATCAGCCATCAATTCTAGGTGAGAAATGAGACTGGTGTGGGAGCAAAGACAAATTAGGAAAATCCAAGATAAACAAACAGAAACAAAGCGGTAGAGCTAGCTGACTCCTGGTCAGCGGGAAACTGCACAGTGGAAAGCCTTGTGAATTGGGGCGTGTGAGCGGCATATAGCAAACAGCAAACTTCTTACCTCACCGATCCAGGGTGAGGAGATACAGAAGGATCCCATCTCTTAGCATCATCAATGAAACAGGTTTCTTCAGCCCTTCTGAGGCACCATGCTCAAGATGTCTCTTTCATTAACCCCCAAAGCCTGCCACAACTCTAAGCATCACACACACACACACACACACACACACACACACACACACACACACACAAAGTCCAAAGAGGGCAAAAGAAGGGATGGGGATGTATGCATTTCTCTTACAAGAAAGGATTTTTTAGAAGCTCTTTCCTATGCCCCTCAGGTTGTGTAAGTTCATTTATCAGTGAGCAGACAGCCTTAGAAAGCAAGTATCAGGCATTTTCACCGTCTAGCTCCAGCAGTAGCCTCTGGCAGAAGGAAGGAAGGAAGCTAGGGCTGAGCAAGACTGTTGTGTAGAAAACCAATAAATGCCCCCAAACTTCAGACAAACTCACACCAAATCACAGCCCTATCCTCATAAGACTCATCTTGTCGGTGACTTAATGTTGTCTTTAAGCTGACTTTATCTTTACTTAACCTAAATAACTTTTCTTAGGTAGGAATTTTTAGACCCATACCAGAAGTATGAAATTGTTACTAAATATGTTTTCTGAGCACATACTAAAGCATATAGTGATTAAATTAAAAATATTCATCTGCTTTACCTACAAGGATCTCCTGTCCAGCTAGTCATAGTCATACTTTGTTTATTTGTTTGTTTTGCTTGTTTGTTTGTTTGTTTGAAACAGGATACCGCAGTGTAGCCCAGGCTGGCCTACAGCTCACAACCCTCGGCTTTCTGGGTGCGGGGTTACCGTGTGCTCTGCTGCACCCAGCAAATACTTTGGGGTGAATAACAGCAAGATCAACCCCCAGTCTTCTAATTCGTGGACACTGACATTGAGCCGGCCCAACACCGGAACTAGAAAACGTCTTGAAAAGTTGCCTTCTTCTGGGAGCACTAATGCCATGCACACAGGGCTCCAGGCCCCAAGGTCAAGGCAATCACTAACCAACATCCTGGTGGGAACCTACCCGTTTTCCTGCCCAGCAACACTCCCTCTCCACATTTAACCACGGAAAGCAAACCTATTGAAGCGGCTGTCAACCAGGAAGGGTTGGCGTCAACTGGGTACTCACATCAGAGGCTGGGCCCTTGTCCGCACCAGGGCAGGAGAACGTGACGAACTCATGGCAACGCTTGTGCACGACAAAGCAGCAGACTGCAAGAGAGAGAGGGAAGGGAGGGGGGACGGGGGAAAGGGAGGAAGAAGCCATTAGGTTGTGCTGATGGAGGTGGGTCTTGTAATAATAAAGAAACTGCCTCGGCCCTCATAGGACAGAAAATTAGGTAGGCGGAGTAGACAGAAGAGAATTCTGAGAAAAAGAAGCTTAGTGAGAGGAGTCGCCATGATGCTCCCACTCCAGACAGACGCAGGTTAAGATCCTCTCTGGTAAGCCAGCTCATGGGCTACACAAAATATTAGAAATGGGTTAGAACAATATGTAAGAGCTAGCCAATAAGAAACTGGACCTAGCCGGGCCAGGCAGTGTTTAAAAGAATACAGTTTCCGTGTAATTATTTCTGGGTATAAACTAGCCATGCGGGCGGCCGGGTGCCGGGGACGCAGCCCCGCCGCTCCTAATTTCAACATTGTGCCACGTGACAACATCATGCAAAATAACACCAGCTCTACCTCATGTCCTCCATTGGGTTACATTGGCGTGACATCCTGCACAGGCATTAGATGTCTAAGTTAATAGAGGGACTTGGGGAACAGCTCAGTGGGTAAAGTACTTGGCGCATGCGTAATTGTGAAGACTGGTGTCTGATCCCCAGACCCCCACTGGGTATGCAAGGTGCCTCCCTATAATCCTAGCAGCCCTCAGGAACAGAGATGGGGATCCCCATTGTCAGCTATCTAGCTCGTCTAGCTGGAACTGACTAGCTCCAAACTGAGAGAGACCCCCATAAAGAAAGTAGAGAGCAACTGAGGAACACATCATATGTTAACTTTAGGCCTTTGCATGTGCATGGTGTGCGCACACATGCACACATACACACACATGCACGCACGCACACACGCACTCACCACTACTGCCCCCATCTGCCCTCATACACATGTGAGCATGCGTACACACACACATACACACCACACACACTTGTATACACATGAAAAAATTAATTTAACTAGAGTTCTAAGAATAAGCCGGGGGGCGGGGGGTGACGCACGCCTTTAATCCCAGCACTCAGGAGGCAGAGGCAAGCGGATCTCTGTGAGTTCGAGGCCAGCCTGGTCTACAAGAGCTAGTTCCAGGACAGGCTCCAAAGCCACAGAGAAACCCGGTCTCAAAAAAACAAAAACAAACAAACAAAAAGAATAACAGACACCTCAAGCTACAGCCCCTTAACGATCACTTAGAGTGTTTTATTGGTTTGGAAATAGGATATTGTGTTTTAGATCAAGTACCAGATGAAGTAGTTATGGCTGATATTTAGGTCCGTGATACATGTGTCTTTGAGCATTAGACTCCTACCTGGAGTGATGATTAGAACAGGAAGGGGGTGGAGGAAGAGTGAGCAAGAATGGCAGAGGCGTGCTCCTCTCCTCAGATCAGTGTCGAGTCAGTGTAGGAGGAGAAGAAACAGGCTATAGGCTGGGGTGGAGCTCGGAGTAGAGAGCCTGCCTAGCATGTTGGAAACTCTGGGATAAAGAGGAGGAGGGGGCAGTAGGGGAGGAAGGAGGAAGATGAAAGGGAGGACAGGAGAAAGAAGGGAGGGAGAAAATAAGAGAAAGGATGAGGAGGAGGAGAAGGAACCAGAAGGTGAAGGAAAGGGGAGGGGGAGAAGGAGGGACTGTCACGTGGAAGAGGGAGGGCAATGAGGCCACCATGCTGCTTGTAATTTGTAACCAAAACCACATAAACATACATTTGAAATTACATGAGCTCGATGCAGCTATGATACAGCTTCACTATCTCAGGGCTACAGTGGTTAGAGGAAGGGACAGCGAGTATCTACATTATAAAATGGACATTTTCCAGTCTCGTTGCTCAAATCTTCTACATCCTCTAGACTCCTGGGCTCCTGGAGGGTGGACTGCATTAGGGGCTAGCTCAGAGCCTTTGCAAAGCACATATTCAAAACAAGCAAGAAATTTCCAGCTACTCATAGAGATGTGATGGTGTAGGCCCATCATCCGTAGCTACTAACAGTGCACGGATGGACACTTGTCCGTGAACATTTGTCCAGGGATAGTCTTAAGGGTTCTACTACAAATTCACAGAAAATACAAATGCCAGGAACGTGTTAGATGGTGTTACTACTCCCTCTTCCAAGTCTCCAGAATACGGGCAGCTGCACGAAAAACTAATATGGAGTCTCCAGCAAGTAAGAAACAAGGGAAGAAAAAAAACACAAGGAGAAAAATAAGAGGAGAAACTTATATCCAAAGAAATAAAAGAAACATCTTGACTAAAGGCATTCTGCATATGTCATTTGAATCCTAATTTGAATAAACCAGCAATATTACAAATCCACCAAGACAATTAGAAAAACGGATCTATTCACTTGGTTTTTATGACACTAGGCAATTATTCCTATTGATATTAGAGAATAAATACCTTCGGTACGGTAGTGGCGTGGTGGTTATTTTAACAGCATCCTTATCTTTGAGGGCTACATCTTAAAAGCTTTATGGATAAAGTAATTCAACTCAAAGTAATTTGGTGTGCTCAGGAGGGTGATAGATTGAAAAAAAGAGAGAGAAAGAAAGAAACTTGCTCATCATGACTCATCATTAAGCCTGCCTGGTATACCCACGAGGACTTAATGGCAATCTGTCTTCTTTTATACATGCTAGATTCTTCCATAAAATAAAAACTTGAAGACAGAGACAGAAACCAACAGAGGGGCAAAGTTACAAAACCCCCAGGATGGCAGGGGCCGTAGCACGGAGGGTGCCACAGCCTATGTTCCCCAGGAGAGTGTGCAAGATGGGGATGAACTGCAGAGAAGGCTAATTTAAGTGTGTTAACAATGACAAGGGGGATGCTGGCAAGATGGCTCAGCGGATACAAGCATCTGCTGGAGAGGCCTGACTGCTTCAGCTTTCTCCCAGCAACCCACAGTAGGAGAGAACAGACTCCTGTGACCTTCACACAAATGCTGTGGCACACACACACACACACACACACACACACACCATAGCAATACGTTTGCTTAAGAATTAAGATTGGGGGTGCCACTCAATGGCAAAGCATGCATAAACACTGCAAATACCAACAATTACAAAAATGAACAATTAAGGAGGAAATAAGATAAAAAATACCATGTACATCTTTCAAAGCAGTGTAAGGAAAACTAGTGTGAAGAAAGCATTCTGAGTTTGCTTGGACAAACAATCAATTGGGGACTCTCTCCATTCCCCAAATCACACACGTAAGGATGTTTTCAAACCTGCATTTGATACCATTTCTACTTTATCTCTTTAATCCATCTGTAATTTTTTTTTTTGCAGTCTAGTGAGCAATGGGACTCTGACCCCACCATAGGTACCCAGTTGTCCTGCAGCCTTGATTAAATAATTCTGCCTTTCTATATGGATTCTCAGTGCCAGGTTTAATAAGTGTTCAATAATTATATATGCTGAGCTTCTTTCAGGCCTTCAGCTTTGTCCCGATCTGTCGTGAGGTATGGTGAAGGGGGGGAAGGGGTAATTACAGCAGCGTTCCAACATGTTGTGCCCCAGCCCCGCGCCTCCTCCCTCATTATCCTCATTCTCAGTGTTGTCTTAGCTGTTGCTGTGGGTTTCTTCTTCCCAGTGAACTTCAGAAGCAGCTTCTCAAGGTTTTTAAAATACCAATGGGAACTGTATTGGAACCACAACAAGTTAAATCCCTGTCCTCCAAAAAGAAAATAAAACAAAATAATTGGGACTTCCATTGGGCTGACCTTACATTTTCAAAATTAAAATTCAAGATAATTGACACTTTTACAAGAGCAAGTCACTCCTCCGGGAATTGATTGTTTCCTTGTTTTTTTTTTTTTAATCTTATTTCTCATCTCCCAGGGAGCCTTTAATTTTCTCCATCTGCGTCCCTATGCAGTTATTACAGTGGACCATCTGAGGGATCCCTGCTTCCATGTGCATTTTTTGTTGTGTTTTCCAACTGTTTGCTGTTTCCATGTAGGAGAGTAATGTAATCCCAGTGTGCAGATTCTGCAGCCTTTCTAAAATTCATAATCATCGATTTGGGTGTTTAGTTGCCTTCAGAATCCTAGCTAGAAAATCATATTACTTTTCTGCTTTCTCACATATATGCCCCTTCCCCCTCCTTATCATATTTCTGCATCTAGAACTTTCAGAACACCAGGAAATAAGGCACTGATAGCTATCCTTTCCAGCCAGTACCACCTCTCCCTCCTTCCCTCCTTCCCTCCATCCATCCATCCCTCCCTCCTTCTCACCCTTCCTCCCTCCCAGCATTCCTCACAATCACTAAAGTTGCTTTTCAGACTCTTCAGAATGACTTTTGGTTTGTGTTTTCATTAGAAATTGCCCGTGTGTTGAATATCTTCCTCCGTAGCTCTCCACCTTAGTTAGTTAGTTCTTAGTTACTTAGTTATTTAGTAATTTTTAAGACAGACTTTCTCCCTGAACCTGCTAGCTCACTGATTCTGCTAGGCTAGAGGCCACCATGCTCCAGGGACCCACCTGTCACTACAGCCCGGGTGCTGGGGTTACACATGTGGGTCGCTATGCCTGGCTTTCACATGGGTGCAGGGATCTGAACTCAAGTCCTCGGGCTGATGCAGCAACCGTTTACCAACTCAACCGTCTCCCTAACCCCTTTTTAATTTTGAGACAGGTTTTCACTAAGTTGCCTGGTCAGGGCCTTCCTGCCTTGATTTCCCTAGTGGCTGAGGTTACAGGCCTTTGGCTGAGCATTTTCTATGTCAGAAAGAAGGGCATGGGTCTGATCATCCACGAATGCTGCCTCTGCTTTCCCTGGTGACTGGACCCCCGTGGCTGGGTTCAGGGTGTGCGTCTGCAGGAATTCTGGACCCCCGTGACCGGGTTCGAGGTATGCATCGACAGTATGACACTAGAGTGTTTGTGTATATTATCTGGTCTCCTAGTGCTTCTGTTTCCCCTCTGAAATATGACAGTGAGGTAAGCAGTTCCCATATCATTGGCCACCCTCAGAACTGGGCCATCGA